GCTAATTTATTTTTTTTTTCCATGTGTACAGGGGTAACACATCGTACTAAATATGTAAGGTCATATCTATGTGGGTTTGATTACAGCAACTAACAAAGTATTCTCTAAATAATGAAAAAAAGAATAAGATAAGATTATAAGAGCGAGAAGCAATTTAAATATGTTCAGGGACCATTTTCATCTCCAGAATTAAGGATTATTTTGATGTTACATCATTACCTTTTCTCTTTTATTTTCCTTTTTAGTTTTATTTTAGGATCCCCTATTTTTAATGTTCATACAGAGATTTCTTTAACTGAAATACTGAATAGTTTCTTTGGTGTGAAAAACTATAATAGCACACAGGATCCTAATGAGACAATTAGTAATGTGAAATAGGAAGTAAAGGGCTAAAGGTGTAAGGAAAGTGGGAAGGGTGGGAGAAAGGTAATAAGGGAGAGGAAAAAAATATGAGAAACTGAAAAAATGGAAATAAAGTGTTTGTAAATCGGGAGGGGAGGAAGGGGTGAAGGGAGGGCAGGGACAAGGGGAAAAATGAGAATCAAGACCTATTATGTAAAGGTACAGAATCCCAATGATGAATGTAATTGTATTGTATACCTAGATTGTACCAATAACCTCAATAAAAGAAAAAACAGGAGAAAGTACAAATGATATTAAAAAAACTGTTCACATAATTAATGACAGAAAATTTCCCAGAGCAAAATAATTTGACATACAGATGAGTGAAGCATATAGGATTCCAACTAGACATCATCCAAAAAAAAAAATCTACACCTAGATATATAATAATCAAGGTCCCAAAAATTCAACAGAATAAAATACTACAAGTAGTTAGAGAAAAGAAACAAATCATGCAAAAGGGAAGGCTCAATCGAATCTCAGCAGACTCTTCAAAACAAACCAACAAGTCAAGGAGAGCCTGGAGTGAGGTATTTCAAGCCCTAAAAGAAAACAACCTCCAACCTAGACTGATGTATCCTGAAAATCTATCTTTCGAAACTGACAGGGAAATAAGACTCTTCCATGACAATGAACACCTGGAAAACTTCATGAGTACCAAACCAGCACTCCAAATAATTCTAAACAATATGCTAGAAAAAGACAATGAAGATCATGACTCCATGAGACCCAGTAGACCAAGTATATCAGGCAAGGCAAGAATCTAAAGGGAGAGGGGTAAAATATAGAAGAGCCAAAAACAGGAAAATAATATGATAGTGGTAATTCAGTACATGTCAATTATAACCATCAATTTTAATGGCCTTGATTCTCCAAAGAAATACACTGTCAGAATGGATTTAAAAGCAAAATCTAATATGCTGTATACAAGAAATGCACCCAGTTCAAAAAGAAACTCATAGACTAAAAGTAAAAGGATAGAAAATAGTTCTCTGTGTGACACGAACCTGGAAAAAAGCAGTGGCAGCTATCTTATTTGCAGACAAAGTTAAATTTCCAACCAAAAGTAGTTAAGAAAAGCAAAGAAAGTCACTACATCCTTGAAAAGAAGAATAATCCAAGAGGAAGAGATGACAGTCATAAATATCTATGCACCAAATACTAATGCCCCAAGTATACAAAACAAATATTAAGGTACATGAAAAAACAAATAACTTCTAATACAACTGTAGTGGGGAACCTCAATACATAGACAGATCATCTAGAGAAAAGCTCAACAACTAAATACTGGAACTGAACCAAGCTTTTTTTAAAAATTGAGTTTATTGGTACATTTTAGGTATACAGTACAGTACAGTTACATTCATTATTGGGATCTTGTACCTGTACATGCAGGTCTTGGTTCTCATTTTTCCCCCTCATCCCTGCCCTCCCTTCACCCTCTCCTCTCCTCCTCATTTACAAACACTTTATTTCCATTTTTTTCATTTTCTTATATTTTTTTTCTTTTCCCTTATTAGCTTTTGAACAAGTGGACTTAAGAGATGTCTACAATTTGTTCCACCCCACAAAATCACAATATTCATTCTTTTTTGGTGCACATGGATCATCCTCCAAAATAAACCAAATGCTAGCTCAGAGAACATATTAAAGTAAATGCAAAGGAACTGAAGTTATTCCCTATATATTATCAGACTATAGCACAACTAAACTGGAGATAAATAGCATAAGAACCCACAAGAACTTCTCAAACAAATGGAAATTGAATAACACTCTCCTGGACAACCAATGGGTCACAGAGGAAACTAAAGAAGAAGTTAGACCATTTTTACAAATGAATGCTAATGCCAATACAACATATTGGAACAACAATGCCAATACAATATACAGGAGTCTATGGGAATGTAGCTCTACATGAAAGTAGCTCTACAAGGGAAATTCATAGCAATGAAAGCCCACACTAGGTAAACAGAGTGAGCTCAAATGAACAACCAAATGATGAAGTTTAATCTCTTAGAAAAAGAAGAGCAGACAAATCCAAACCTCAAACAAGGGAAGAAATTACACAGATTGGAGCAGAAATCAGTGCAATGGAAACTAAGAGGACAGCAACAACAACAAAAAATCAATGAATCAAAGAGTTGGTTTTTTGAAAGAATAAATAAAATCAATAAACCCTTAGCCAAATTTATCAAAAAAAAGCGGGGGGGGGGAGAAAACACCCAAATCCAAGCAATTAGGAATGACAAAGGTGAAGTCACGACATATCCAGCAGAAATCCACAAGATCATCAATACCTATACTGAACCTGTTCAGAACCTGTACTCTAATGAAATACAAAACACAGAAGAAAAGATCGGATTTCTCGATACATATGAATTACCAAAGTTGAACAAGACACAAAAATTCTAAACACCCCAATTTCAGTCAGTGAAGTTGAAAAACTTAATAAAATTTACCAAAAATGGAAAGCCCAGGGCCGGATGGCTTCATTGCTGAATTCTATAAGACATCTAAGAACAATTGCTATTACTCTTTAAACTTTTCAATAAAATTGAAAGGGAAGTAATACTCCTAAATTCATCCCTGGAAGCAAGTGTTACTTTGATTGCAAAATCTGGGAAACACCCAACCAAAAAAAAAGAACAACAGGCTAATCTCCCTAATGAACACAGATGCAAAAATCCGAAATAAGATACTGGCAAAGACAATATAGAGGTTCATCAAGAAGATCATACACTCTGACCAGGTCGGATTTACCCCAGGGATGCAAGGATGGTTCAACATATGTAAATCAATAAATGTAATACACTATATTAACAGAGTCAAGGACAAAAATCATCTCAATAAATGCAGAAAAAGCATTTGACAAAAATCCAATGCCCATTCATGATGAAAACCCTGCAAAAATTGGAATAGATGATCTATATCTCAACTTGATAAAGGCTATCTATAAACCAACAACCAACATCATACTAAATGGTCAAAAACTGAAAATGTTCACATTGAAATCAGGAACAAGACAAGGATGTCCACTGTCACCACTCCTGTTCAATATAGTTTTGAAACATTAGCCACAGCAATTAGATAAGAGAAAGAAATAAAAGGTATAAAGATAGGAAAGGAAGAAGTTAAACTGTCATTAATTGCTTATGATATGATACTTTACCCAAAAATCCCCGCCAAAAGACTTCTAAACTTATTGACAGATTTAGTAGAATAGCTGGATATAAGAACAACACTCAAAAGTTAATAACCTTCTTGTACACAAATAACAGACTCACCGAGAGAGAAATTAGGGAAACAATTCCTTTCACAGCAGCATTCAAAAAAATGAAATATCTTAGAATCAATCTAAGGAAGGAAGCAAAAGACTTCTACACTGAAAACTACAGCATTCTGAAGAAAGAACTCTAAGAGTATATAAGAAAAATGAAAGACATCTGTTCCTGGGTAGGAAAAACCAACATAGTGAAAATGGCCATACTTCCAAAACTGCTATATGGATTCAATGCCATCCCAATTGAAATCCCAACAGTATATTTCACAGAACCAGAGAAAACAATCAAAAATTCATTTTGAACCAGACGAGATCTAGAATTGCAAAAGCCATTCTAGGCAACAGAGACATAAGAGGGGTATCACAATCCCCAACTTGAAATTATACTATAAAGCTACTGTGATAGAAACAGCATGGTACTGGCAAAGGTATAATATTTGCAAGCACTTTTCTAGCTGTATCCTAAAAAATGTGATTAACCTCTGACAAAATTAATCTTTCTAAATTTCATGAGAAATTTGACTCACTGAGAGTTTAACAATTTTGCCCAAAGTCATATAAATACTGTACTTCCTAACTATCCAGAGTAATTGAAGGAGTACATAAACTGCTACTTGGACTTGACAAACTCTCTCTGGGGGAATCCACTAATATATGTGTGAGGCAGAGTTTCCCTAAGCTAATCATAGCATTATCACTATAAGGTCTGATTATCATTTATTTGAAAAAACACCAAAAGTGTGATATCCTTTGGAATATGACCATAGAGATCCAACTGGTAGCTTAATGAGCATAAAAGATAGAAATTTATGCCAGATATAAACACTCTAAAAATTCTGGGAGGTAGATTGAAGAAGAAAAGACAAGTTCAACTTTTTCAATAGGGATTTTAAGAGCTGGCCCACACTGTCAAAGGATTAAAGTTATTTGTTCTAAAAAGTAAGGAGTCCTATAAAACACTGTGATTAAAACAATTAATTGATATAAGAAGGTAGAAATAAATGAAATACAAGTTCTACCCATGCAAGAAACAAAACAAAGCAATGTGTACAAAAAGATATTTGAACAAATTAATGACAAAGGCCAAATATATTGATAATGGAAATAGGAAGAAGATATTTTGAAGCATCTATTCATTTGTTGATTAATTTAATGAACATTTTATTGACTATATACAATGTGCCCTTTGGGAGGCAATAATGAACAAACTCTTCTCTTTACTCAAAAAATGCCATGGTCTATTAGGAGAGCTAAGGCTGCATTGAGGGGAGACCTTCACTCCATCCGGCGGCTAGCACCATACCCAGAAACCCACACCATGGCCTCCATTTCCAAACTCACCTGCATCTACTCTGACCTTATCCTGCATGATGACAAGGTCACAGTCATGGAGGATAAGATCAATGCCCTCATTAAAGCAGCTGGTGTCAATGGCAAACCTTTTTGGCCTGGCTTATTTGAAAAAGCCCTGGCCATTGTCAACATTGGGAGCCTCACCTGCAATGCAGGGGCTGGTGGTCCGGCTCCTGCAGCTGGTGCTGCACCTGCAGGAGGCCCTGCCGCCTCCACCACTGCTGCCCCAGCTGAGGAGAAGAAGGTGGAAGCAAAGAAAGAAGAATCTGAGGAGTCTGATGACAACATGGGCTTTGGTGTTTTTAACTAAACCTCATTTTGTAATATGTTCAATAAAAACTGAACATCTAAAAAAAAGAGACAAAGAAAATTTCAATACACTGTAAAAATCATTCTCCTGTTAATAAACACTGCACCAACATATTTATATAATCTTATGTAATCTTATATATGGGGAGAAAAATGTTGACTTGTGTTAGGGAGCTAAGCGTAGGATACCATATATAAAGAAATGCAGGGTCAACCTGCCAAAGATTAAAACTAGACCCTTGTCTCTCACCATGCACTAAATTAAAATCCAAGTGGATTAAAGATCTGAATATTAAAACAGACACTAAACTTGCTGGAAGATAATTTAGGCAGAATTCTTGCAGACACTGGCATAGGAAAAGACTTTATGAACAAATCCTCAGTAGCACGGGAACTAGCAGAAAGAATCAACAATAGGGACATCATCTTACTAAAAATTTTACCAGCTGCTCCTCAGACAAAGGACTATTATCTAGAATATATAAGGAACTCAAAACAATCAGCCCCCCAAATATAAAGACCCAATTTAAAAATGGAAATCTGAAATGAACAGACATTTATCAGACAAAGAAGTAAAAGCAGCAAGAAAATATTTGAAAAAATGTTCCACATCACTGGTCCTTCGAGAGATGCAGATGAAAACAACACTGACATTCCACCTCACCCCACAAAGAATGGCTGCTATCAAGAAATCACACAATAATAACAAGTGTTGATGGGGTTGTGGGGAGAAAGGAACCCATCTCCATTTTTGGTGGGAGTGCAGACTGGTGCAACCACTATGGAAATCAATATGGAGATACCTCAAAGAGCTGAGACTAGAGGTTCCATTTGACCCAGCCATCCCTCTTCTGGGTATCTTTCCAAAAGAATTAAAAGAATCATACCAGAGTGATATGTGCATGCCCATGTTTATAGTGGCACATTTTGTAATAGCTAAAACTTGGAAATAGCCCATTTGCCCATCAGTTGGAGATTGGATAAAGATGTGGTTTTTCTATAAAATGGAATATTACTCAGCCATAAGAATCAGAAATTAGACTCATTGATAGGAAAATGGATACATATTGAGGATACACTCCTAAGTGAAATAAATAAGTCACACGTGTAAATACCAAATAGTTTCTCTGGTGTGAATAAACTGTAATAGTACCTAAGATCCTAATGAGCTGGGCATGGTGGCACTCGCCTGTAATCCCAGACCAGCCTGGGCTACATAGTCGGTTTCAGGTCAGTCTCAACTACACAGTGAGACTCTGTCTCAACGCCCCCCTCAAAAAAAGATCCTAATGAGATAACTGACATTATGAAATTGGAAGAAAAGGGCTAAAGGTGTAGGGAAAGTGGGAAGGGTAGGGGAAAGGAAATAAGGGGAAAATATGAAAAAATGGAAATAAGGTGTTTGTAAAAGGGGAGGAGAAGGGGGGTGAAGGGAGGGCAGGGACAAGGGGAAAAAATGAGAACCAAGACCACCTGTCATGTAAAGGAACAAGATCCCAATAATGAATGTAACTGTACTGTATACCTAAAATGTACCAATAAACTCAATAAAAGAAAAAGAAAGAAAGAAATGCAGGGCACGATGAATACCTTGTGCAGAATGATGAAGTAAACCCTGTGAGGGAGATAAGTTACTAAGCACATATTGCCTTCCTATGGCTGATAATGACTGTGAGGATAATTCTGGGTTCAAGTATAACAAAGTCTGGCCCAAAAGGCAAAGGAAGATAGTAACACTGATAATGTATCACAGCTTTCATACAGACACAGTTACATCTGAGATTAATGGAAAAATCAGGGGATTCTAAGTTTCATTGGTTATGAAAGTCATTTTATCTATTGACTAATAATTGTAGGTTTAATTTTGAAGGGGGAATTGTCTCATGAATGTTTAGTTTTCTAGGATGTGTTAATTCAGAGAGAATTCCCTATAAATCAATCTTGGTGTTTTGGATGTGTTCATTTAGTATTTTTGTGAAGGAACACATAATCTAATAATACTTAATTCAGAAATTTTAAGATTGCTGTATATTATACTGCTTTGAAAGTTCTTTCCTTCTAGTAATTGATCCAATGGCTACTTTGCTGAGTCATAGCCATGACTTGATTCCATGTTCTGGCCATGTGTAAATTTTTTTGTAAATATTTATTATGTCTCTCTAATTTTTTTCTCTAAAAGGAAGAGAAGAACATATTCACTTAAAAGGACTGTTAAAATCTTACGGGGATTAGCACACCATTGAAATACTTTAAAAAACAATAATCACATAAAGATGGTATTGGTTTCACAGCATTATTTTGATTCACCTAATAAATTGAATCAATAAAATTAGCTCTTTTGTAGAATACATAAAAAGTCATGAGTGTGTTGTTGTTTTTTGTTCATTTCCTTCTGATTCACCACATACTTTATTCCTCATGTTTGCAAGTGGGTTTTTTTTTTTGTAATCATGCTTCTCATTGCCAAGAATATCCATTTAATAATATTTCTTAGGAGTCCTTCCTGAATATTGCAGATGTTGCAAGCAACTCCATCTTTTGCATTGATAATAATATTTGGTATACATTTTTTTAAACTTTCTATAACTATATGTCTACCTTTTTGTTTTCTTCAATCCTATAAAGTGGATATGGATTATCCTACAAACCCAAAGCCTAGTCCCTGTACCTAAAACCCAGTTGCTTTAAAATATACTGTTAGCATCATCTCTCAATCAATGTCCATAAACATAAAAATTAGGAAGAACTTATACATGAACACTGTTATTCTACTTATAGGAAACTTAATACTCAAATATAGATACTGAGTAAAGAAAAATAGTACATGCATTGTATTATTTATAACAGATTATTTCAGATTGTTCATTATATATTGTTATGAGTTTCCTGTTTGGACTTGAACCAGAAAATGAACCTAAGTGTTTCTGGTTGTAAAATGGACACTGTTTGATCTCTCCCTGAATTCTGTAAGTGTAGTTGTGACATTTTTAATGGTATAGGTGTTGATGTAACATTTTCAAATAAATCTGGGGGAATAATAGATATGGAATGGTTCACAGGGCAAACTGATTAAATCAATTCATGATTCATAATATAGATAGGATCCAGAGCTATTCATGAAAAGTTTTGTCACTGTTTGGAGACCATAATAATCTTATTCCCAGCAACTTTAATCAGGAAATAACTGTGATTCTTTATGGTATGTGAGGAAATTAAAAAGATAATGAGTGAAAACTAAATTAATAGCCAAAGTAGAAAAGATTTATCATGTGCTTATGATTTAGGGCTAAGATAAATCCACATTTAATAATTAGTGTGAGATTGATTTAAATTCTGTTAGGGTAAAAGGCAGGAAAACTGATGTTCTGTCCACTTCAACAATAACATTATCTTGCCTATATCTCTCGTAACAATTTTAGAAATTTAGGGCAAGAATTATACTTCTTTGTCACCATATCGCCAACTCCTGTCATATGATAATTAAGTGTAACTTGAATGAGTAAATCATATTAGAAAGCCCTTTAACAATTCTAACATTTAATATGAACTTCTATTAATAAGTTATTACAAATGAAAGTCAGTGTATGGTAACTTTTATGAGTCCACTTTTTTTTTCTCATTGAGTTTATTGATACTTTTTAGGTTTACAGTACAGTTGCATTCATCATTGGGATCTTGTACCTTTACATGACAGGTCTTGGTTCTTATTTTTTTCCCCATACCCCTACCTTTCCTTCACCCCCTCCTCCCTTCCCTATTTAAAAAAAAACTTTATTTCCATTTTTTCATTTTCTCATAATTTTTTCTTTTCCCTTATTTCCAAATTTTGATGTATAAGAGAAATAGACTTTAAGTTTTCCCCATTTATGCATTTATAATCTCTGAAATATTGAACTCTCCATCTTGGTTTCACTCTACTCTTTCTTTGTAAACTATAAAAAATACTAACTTTTGTAAGGGGCTTTATAGAAATAAATACTGTATGTGATTTGCCTAATATAAAGTATAGAGTGCAGAATATTACCACAAGACATACAATTTCTCTTCCTTACTATGAAAACCTCTCATCATTTCTGGACTCTCAGATTAAAAATTAGTTATCTAGAAACTTAAACTTTCATCAATTTACCATAAGTTCATGCATTTTTTTCATATGTTGTATGTTTTATATTCTGTAATTTCTATTACATAATTTTGAAGTTAATCTGCCTTTAAAAATATCTCTGACACACGGACAATATGTGTAAACATCTCATAAATTTGAAAGAACTGAATGCGCTAATGTGTAGAAAATAATGAGAATAAATCTGCAATATAATAATCACTTAAAAACTGTATTTCACTTTTGTTCTTTCCCTCTTATTACTACTCATTGTCATAAGTATCATGTGTATATTTGTATAAAGATTGAAATTTTATTAAAAAATGATAGTATTTTCAAATATTTAAGAGGCTATTTCCCCAACTCCCTGATCATTATGGTTAGCTGAATGCATAAATATGCAAACTAGAAACTCATTTCTTAGCATTCATTTCTATTATCCAATAGGTAAAATTTTCCAAAGTCTACATCTATTTTGACTGTCTAAATGTCCTATGTCCTATGTCTCATCCAAAGCAAGCCACTCCTATTAAAAGTCACTAGTTAGAGAACATTTTCTACTTCATCCAAGTACTTTCATAAAAATATTTAAATAGTCCTAAAACAATATTCAGCACTGTCACATTTATTAAAGATAATGAGGGATATTTTAATGAAGAAATGGAGCGCAGGATGAATAACTGTAACAAGGAGAGTTTTAAGAAGGTGCATGTAATATACAACATTTATAAGGACTTTATGCAGTTAATGTTACTCATACTTTCATTTAACAGAGAAAAGCATAACCTTTTGAATGGTATCCTTAAAAGCTTGTTTCACTTGCTGGTTTCTCAGGGTATATATAAATGGATTCATCATTGGAGCAACAGAAGTATTGAGGATAGCTACCCCCTTGGTCA